TGATCCCTGGCCAGGCAGCTCAAGTCCTGCTGGGGCGGTGAAGGCTGCTGAATGGAAACCCTCATCAGTGTGGCCTGAAACTCAAGAGTCCAGACTCTACCCGGATCTGTGCCAAACCAGGGACCCAAGCTTGCACGTTTGACAGAATCAAAGAGAGTCACACATCAACAAGGTGCAGGTAATTACAGGTCTTCCCTCATCTCTCTCTCTCTCCTACGGGCCCAGCACATGGTCTATCTCCCCTGTGGGAGGAAGTAGTTGGCAGTAGATGTCTTCCACTTCCTCCTCCGTAGATACGGCAGGCATGTGGCTGGCATTTAGCCTACATCAAGGAAGAGTGTGGTTTTGACTGTTGCACTTGCCTCTTGTCTACCTCCCTGTCTCAGATCCTTCTGGGCTGGATCTGTCTTCCAAACTCTCCATGCTCTGCTGTGCAGCCCAGAGCCTAGCTAGGGTTCTCTGGTCCTCTTAGGCTCAGTACTGGCCAGCAGCAGGGCAGCCTCCACACCCTGGCCAGCGCTGTGAACCCAGTGAACCATGTGAACGCTTTCTGAAGGCTCCACAATGCAGACAATGTATGACTGTCTGCAGTGGGTGTCTGGCCCCGCAGCTCCCCCTCCACAGGTCAGGTCTTCCCTGGTGGTGTGATAAACACACAGCACATCGGATCTTCGTTCCAAGTTTCGGCCACAGAGCTCCCGAAAGCCTTGGAGCACCCCCAAATAACCAGAGTGGCTGCTGATATTTGCATCCAGTCCTTTCCTAACACCTGAAGTTTAGGAGGTGACTGGCGGGGGGGGGGGTGTCCCTTATTGAGAGAGGAGTCAGCCACACTTAGGGCTGGAACTTTGGGTCCCATCTTCAGGAGCTGAGCCGGAGGTGGGCAGACAGAGGCAGGCAGGCAGGTCCACTCCAATGTGAATACACTTGCCCAGTCTTTCCATGGAGTCAGGAAATAACAAATGGAGTTGCTGCGTTTCTATCCCAGTGCAAGGGCGCCATGCCCCGGGCTCTCGGGTCTCGTTGGCACCTCTGCCATCACAGTGGTACAAACTCTCCCTAGACGGCTTCCTTGGGGCTGAGCACACAGTCAGGCCATAGGAGGATTTTTTTTCCAAGCTGGAGTAGACACTCATCTATGATTTCTTCTTCAAAGGTAAAGCTCTCTTATTGTGCTTCATTTATGAGGTATTTCTGCCACTGCCTCTGGGTTATGTACACAAATAAAATATGTAACAGGAGGCTGCCTTCCTTGTTTTCTTTCTTTCCTTCTGCCTAATTTCAACTCCCTGTCAAATTTCCTCACATCGATCCGCTCACCAGAGATACTGCCTGGGGCTCTCTCCCGGGAGCGCCGCTCTTCACACGGAGTCGCGGGAGGCAGACCCCACGGGAGGGTTCTACCTTCCACCCCTCATCATCTCCGTGGCCCACTTGACCAGGGTGACTTCTCTGGGGCCTTTTCTCCCTCCTGTCCATCAAGGTGGAGAGAGATGATCTCCCAGTTTTACATGGCAGCTTCCCTGAGACGAGGAATTTCCAGAGGGCCTTGATCTGTGCAGACAGTGTGAGTTTCCATATTGCTTCTCCAGTCTGGTCCACCTGTGGCCAAGGCTGTGTCTAGTTGTGCCAGGTGAACGCAGGGTGTGTGTGTGTGTGTGTGTGTGTGTGTGTGTGTGAGAGAGAGAGAGAGAGACAGACAGACAGACAGATAAAGAGACAAAGGGAGGATTTGAGTAGTAGATAGTTGGGGGTTAACAACTGATATGGAGTGAGCATCTCAAACTTCAGAGATACAGCACACGACAGCGCTATGAGAGCTAGGTGTGCAAGCAGAGGGTGGAGCCAACCACCATGAGAACACAGAGGGCTGGGGTGGGGGAACAGAAAAGGCAAAGCTCTGAGGGTGTGCTCAGCCACACCCTGGCAGGTCGGTAGATGCTCTGAGGGTGTGCTCAGCCACACCCTGGCAGGTCGGTAGATGCTCTGAGGGTGTGCTCAGCCACACCCTGGCAGGTCGGTAGATGCTCTGAGGGTGTGCTCAGCCACACCCTGGCAGGCCGGTAGATGCTCTGAGGGTGTGCTCAGCCACACCCTGGCAGGCCGGTAGATGCTCTGAGGGTGTGCTCAGCCACACCCTGGCAGGTCGGTAGATGCTCTGAGGGTGTGCTCAGCCACACCCTGGCAGGTCGGTAGATGCTCTGAGGGTGTGCTCAGCCACACCCTGGCAGGTCGGTAGATGCTCTGAGGGTGTGCTCAGCCACACCCTGGCAGGCCGGTAGATGCTCTGAGGGTGTGCTCAGCCACACCCTGGCAGGCCGGTAGATGCTCTGAGGGTGTGCTCAGCCACACCCTGGCAGGTCGGTAGATGCTCTGAGGGTGTGCTCAGCCACACCCTGGCAGGTCGGTAGATGCTCTGAGGGTGTGCTCAGCCACACCCTGGCAGGCCGGTAGATGCTCTGAGGGTGTGCTCAGCCACACCCTGGCAGGTCGGTAGATGCAACCAAGTGGGTTTGTTCAGGGAACTGGGTGGGGAGGAGGGTCAGTCTAATCATGGAGACACAAGGGAGGACAGCTGTTACAGGAAAAGGTAAGATGAGCAGCACCAAGTCCACAGCATATAGCATGACATCCTGGCTATTGGTGCTCTACCGTCCTCCGGGACCCTGGCTGGTGTCTCATTTTTCTCCCTGTGTATCTGTCTCGAGAAGTCCATGCCTACAGATCTTCATGCAGACCTCCCTGGAGCTCAGCATGAAGCAGAAATTCTTAGTGAAAAACCATAGATGCTCAGAGCTCTGTTCCAGCATACCCCGCCTTGCTGCCTCTGAGGGCTCTTGCTGTGGTTCTTGCTGGGTGCTACCTGGAGATCCTGACTTAGCTGGCATCCGCAAGACCTGAAAGTGATGTTTGCTGTGGTGTTTAAAGTCCTAGGGGTGTGTGTGTGTGTGTGTGTGTGTGTGTGTGTGTGTGTGTGTGTGTGTGTGTGTGAGTGCTGGTCCTGGAGATTGAACTCAGAGCCAGGGCACTGTCCTTTAGCATTTTCACTCAAGGCTGAGGCTCTACTACTTGAGCCATACCTTCATTTCCAGCTTTTTGCTGGTAAATTCAAGATAAGAGTCTCACAGACTTTCCTGCCCTGGCTGGTTTCAAACTGCAATCCCCAGATCTCAGCCTTTTGAGTAAGCCACTGGCTAATGTGCAGATTTGACCAAGTGAAGTGAAAAATGAATAAGAAAACCCAAGCCATTTCAAAAACGAACGCCTTACATTCCTGCGCATACATGATGCAGCTCAGTGGATATGGAGAAGCTCCCGTATTACCCACAGTCCTAGTCACCCAGTGCGGAACCGCAGCCTTTCCCTGGAGGGGAACGGTGCCCTCCAGTGAATGGACTTGAGCGAGGGGGTGGAGACAGACAGTGTTGGAAGGCGGTATGCTTTTGTCGGAAGCTGCATGGCATTGTGGGAGAGTAATCAAGCATCCTCAGCGGAACTGAACACTACGCCTCCTGAGTGTGTGCAGTTTTTCCTCCGTCACCATCTTGGATGCCCAGGCTTTACTGTATTAGTTCAGGTTGAAAACCACTGTGCAGCCCAAAAGTTCTTGCAGTTTTTAACAAAATACCTAGCCTGGGGTTCCAGCCCCAGGTTGACTTTCAATTAAGAACTTTTATTTTTTTCAATAATGAGGTTTCAATTCAGGCCTTAGCTTGCTAGGCAGATGCTCTACTGTGGATCTGTACCTTCAACGCTTTTTTGTACTGGTTATTTATGAGATAGGGTGTTACTTTCGGCCTAGGAGTGTGCTTGGACTGTTTTCCTCCTATTTTATATCTCCTCCCGTGTTCCCATTACAGCTGGGATGACAGGCGCATACCACCAAGCCCGCTGCGCTTCGGTGACAGTGGGAGAGAGCTACGCAGTTAGTGTGAAAGGAATAAAATAGCCTCGTTGTGTGTGTTATACCTCGAATGTTCAATCTGGATGAGAATGCACCCTCAGATGGTAAGGAAGAACTGGGGAGCCGTCTTCATGATTTTACCCCTCACCTGTGCCTTGGATTATTTAAAAAATCTGACAGCTTGGTTCTGTGTTATCTTATATTCACACAGTATTGTCTGTGCACCAGAACAGGGCCTGGGACACAGTTAATGCTCAGTAGGTGTTCACTGCCCACACCTCGGATACACAGATGCCTGCAACAAGTGCTCAGGTGCTCCTGCGCCTGCTACTTGCTGCCCCTCCTCCTCCCTCCAACCTCTCAGCAGGAAGTGGGCATGTGTGCGCACGTGTGTGTGTGTGTGTGTGTGTGGTGTGTGTGCGTGTGTGCACGTGTGTGTGCGTATGCGCGTGTGTGGTGTGTGTGCGTGCGTGCGTGTGTATGTATGTATGTGCGTGTGTGCATGTGTGTGTGTACGTGCATGTGTGCGTGTGTGTGTGCATGCGTGCTCAAGGCAGTTCTCACTGTATGGCCCACTCTGACACCCTGTTATCACACCGAGGTCTCCGAGGGGGACACATGTGCCATTCATTTGTCACCAGTGGCCTAGAAGCTGAGCCATGGTGACCCATGGAAATCAGCAATGCAAACAGAGAGACCAAAGTTCAGTTCCACCCCTTTCCACAGGAACTTTGTTTTCCACCCCCACAATAATTAAGCCAAAAGAGCCATGGACACGCCTCACGGAGAGAGAGCATCCATATTCCCCGATGCCCGCATCACCCTATCTTCCGCATCACCCTGTGCCTCTCGGTGGCACAGACCGTACCTTGACTATCTTTGAGCGTCCATCCCAGACCCATCCTCATGGGGCTCACAGCTCGCTGGCGCTGTCACGGTGTTACACGTGACCCGCTTGTCTTTGGGTGAGCACCCTCCTCGTGCTTTCGAGGATGTCTAAGTAAGGGGCAGCAGGGACACGCCGGGCTCCGCTTCTGGGAGCTCCCCCACCCCGTGAGGGGCTCCGGGTGAGGCACAGCGCAGGAAGGCCCCTTACCTGGTCCACTGCAGAACGAGGCGATGGCGGCCAGGATGCACACGATGCTCAGGTAAGGGACCCAGGGGGCGCGGTCCTGTGGGGAAGAGCCATGTGGGCGGGGGCGGGGCTGCCGTGAGGAAGGGGATGTCCCCGCCAGCCCTCTGATCCCTAGGGAGATGTTTCCTTTCTCTGCTGCTCAGTGACTTCCTGCTTGTGGCAAGCCACTGTCACATACTACCGTGCTAATCCCCCATGCCACACATGTCTGGACAGTAAGACCAGAACGTGAGCACCCTGCCCAATTTTTAATTCCATCATTCATTTTTGAAAACGATTGCTGTGAGCTTGGGGTGAATGCTCATTCAAGACACTTAGTAAGTGTTCAATTAATGCACATTGCCTTGCAGGGGCAGAAAGGAAAGAGGTGACATATGAAATCTGGTCTTAGGATACAGTCCCAGCTCTGCCACTGCTGAGTTCTGTAACCTTGGCCATGCTACTCGAGGTAACTATGCACTGGATTCCTCATTTCTAGTGAGGGAGGAAATCAGAATATTGTAAGGATGAAGCATTTCAGCATCCCCTAACCAGCAGACACTCCCTGAGCACCCGTTCCAAGTGCATTTCTCATGGAATCCTCAGAGCATCTGTGTGTGTGTGTGTGTGTGTAGGGGGTTACTGCTCCACTTCAGGAGTGTGGCACAAGAGGAGCTGACACAGTAAGTGGCTTGCCACCCTAAGGAGCTCCAAACGCCAGCCGCAGAGCTCCTGCTGCAGCCAGAGATCATGGTGAGCCAGGAAGGGGACAGCAGGCACCCTCTGGCACCCTCTGCTGGAGGGTGAAGGAGCTACAAGAGACCCCTTTGGGGCCACCGTGTGCAATCTCGTCCACCCCACAGACTGGCAAGCTGAGGCACACAGAGGCAACACATCTTGCTTCAAATCACACAGCTCCTCAGTGGCCGTGACAGGACAGAGGTCAGAGCTCTGGTCTCCCTACGCGAGGATCCACCCACAAAGCCACCAGCCCCGCGCTGGAGCCCCGCCCTCAAGGTGTGGCAGGGCCTCACCTGCAGAGTCAGCGCGGCGGTGAGGATCCCAAAGAAGAGCGCCATCAGCCCGAAGCCACCGATGAGCAGCACCCTCCTTCCCAGGCGCTCAATGACCAAGCCCTAAGCCACGGGAAAGAGCACAGGACGGTGCGTGATCAGTCCCCTGTGGGCAGCGAGCAGAGGGACCTGGCCGAGGGCCAGGGGTCAGGGTTGTCTGACACTGTGACAGCCCAGTCACTGGCCCCTTTCTCCCAGACACACGCAGAGAATCATTCTGAGAAAGATCATGCTGAGAAAGAAGAAGGGGAGGCAGAGAGACTCCATCTAGAGTTGCTGCTGGGGCCCTTCTCTTCTTCCTCTCCAGGAGGAAGTAGACCTGGAAGAAGGACCTGGCCACCCCAGCCCTCTTGCCACCCTCCAAGCCAGCTTGCTTACAGGCAACTGCCCTGAGCTTCTCTGCCTTTAGCTTTTGTGGGGCTAAGATGCCCGGGGCTGGGCATGTGGAGGGAGTTGTGGAGAAGGTTCTCAGCTTCTCCATGCTGCCCACATCTGGACGGTCAGTTCCTGCTGGGTATGTGATACAGGGAGGCCAGGAACAAGGATGGCATCCATCAAAAGCCAGAAAAACAGCGCTAACTTCTCAGAGGACTAAGGAAGCCGGCAGATTCTCTCCCCCTCCAGCAGTGGCTGGGAAGTTCCCAAACTCTTGCCCTCTGTCATCCTGGTTATTTATGCTAAGGTTAGAGCTGGTCGAAAAAGCCTGGCCAAAGGTCATAACTGCTGTATTATTTACAGTGACAAGGATGTAAAAAGAAAAATAAATCCACCAAGACATGAATGGATAAAATATATACTGGAATGTCTAGATGCTAAATATATAGGAATTAACATACTTGTATAGAATTGTGATATATATATATATATATATATATGTCATGTGAAATACAATTATGTTAAACTAATAGACCCTTTACAGATATATACAGGAAGCATTTGTAATGTTTAACTTTGTGAAGACATATGAAAGTATTATTTCACTTGCTGGTGTTTTAGTTTTATAAGTTGAACTTTTTTTTTTTTCACTTACAAGAAGGGGGAAGACAAAAAAAATACCAGAAATAGTTTATGGGGATGCAAATTCCTGTCCCTTGAGTTACAGTCTTCATTCTTTTACCATCCCCAATGCCCACCCAAGCAAACCTTCATAATCAGGTAAAAATATTTTTACTGCAATACAAGGATGATGTAGTCATTCTTGAGGCCCCTAGGGCAGGGTCCAAATAACTGGACTACTGGGAACTTTGTGCCAAAGTGTGTTAGAGGACGTGCGCGTGCCCCTAGTGACCTGAAGCTGACATGAAATCCTCCTCCCCCAGCAAACTCCCACTGCTGTTACTGGAATACCACGGTGCGTTACACTGTAACCGCCTCTAACCCAGGGACATGCTACACTGAGACTAATTCACATTGCAACAGTGGGATGGAAACATTACATCGTCACCCTACAGTGGATGCAACACACGTGCTGCATTGTTACTCTGAGGTAGCACTGTAACTGAAATGAACAGGGTTTGAAGGTTTCTCCAGCTGGGGGTAAAGCTCCTGGCAGAGCACTTGTCTAGTCTGTGTGATGGAGTGGGGATGGGTGTGGTTTTCAAGTGAGCCTTCCCCAGTCTCAGTATTTGTGAATGTACCCCACACATGGAGCAGTTGAAAGCCATTATTTTCTGAGCATGCCCACATCCAGGGCCTGTGTGGGGGGAGAGGCTTGCATCATTTTCCTGATGTCACCTGAGCAAAGTGCAGAGAATGTATCCTCCCTGACAGGGAAACAGCTTCCGGGGTGCCGGGAGCCTTCCACGGGAGAATGTGGACTCAAGGTGAACGGTGCTTTGGAAGTTACTGAAGCCAGCTGGGAGGGGGGGGGGGGTGTCGTCAGAGTCCCTGACTCCCAAGAAAGCCCTCTGGGACTCCTGAGTCCAGGCCACTCAGCTCCCAGCAGCCTGCACCCCGCCTGGAGTGCTGGGAAGCTGGTACCAGCCCTCTCTGGTCTGCCTGGTCTTGGCAGTGATACACCAGCAGTCACATTGTGTTTTCTTGGGTGTGTCTGGGTTCAATCTCCCCTTCTTCTAAGGACAGTCATACTGGATTGGGGTCCCACCAACTCCGGTATAACTCCATCTTGGCTGAACTATTGACATCAGCAATGACTCTATTTGCACATCATGTCTGATTCTAAGGTGCTGAGGATTTGAAAGTATTAATTTTCAAGAATCACAATCCAACCTATCATAATATTTATACGTATCTATTCTAAGCATGATACATTGTGGCATGATCTTTGCAAAGCCATTTGAGATAGATCTGTGATCATCTCCACTTTCTTTAAGAGAAAAATGGCTATCAGCAAGGCTGACAGACTGGCACAAGGTCACCGAGCTAGTCCGTGAAGGTCAGGAGGGCACAGAACCCGAACACTCTCCTGTCCACGTGGTCACCTCCAGCCACTTTCTTCTTTAAAAAAAAAAAAAAGAAAAAGGGCTGGGGCTGGGAAGGTGGCTCAGGTAGAGCGCTTGCCTTGCATGCATGAGGCCCTGGGCTTGATTCCTCAGCACCACATAAGTGGAAAAAGCCAGAAGTGGCACTGTGGCTCAAGTGGTAGAGCGCTAGCCTTGAGCTGAAGAGCTGAGGGACAGCGCCCAGGCCCAGAGTTCAAACTCCACGACGGACAAAAAAAAAGGGGGGGGGGCTAGATCTGTAGCTCTCACCTGTGATTCTAGCTACTCAGGAGGCTGAGATGGGAGGATCTCAGTTCAAGGCCAGCTTGGGTAGAAAAGTCCAAGAGACTCTTATCTCCAACGAATTAGCAAAAAGTCAGAAGTGGAGGTGTGGCTCAAGTGGTAGAGCACTTACCTTGAGCCAAAAGGTGAGGGAGAGTGCTCTGGCCTTGAGTTCACGTGTCGGTAATGGCGTGCGCATGTGTGCGTGTGTGCATGCGCACGCGCACGTGCACACACACACACACACGCGCGCGCGATCCTGAATCCACTAAGGCAGTCCTAGGAAACCTGCAGGTGACAGTCACAGCTCCCAGGACTTAGGCTGTGAACATCTTTAGGGGTCATTATTTCTTGTCAGTTGCAGACAGGGCCATGAGAATGCCCATTTTACAGATGAGCAAATAAACAGAGCTGTTGACCCAACCACCAATCAGCATGAGAGCAAAGACGTGGCTATCCCATGCAAGGGGAAACTGAGGCAAAGAGTATCAGTATCACACAGCTGAGGGGTTCCTGAGAGCCAGGGTTCGAATCCAACTGGGTCTAATTCCAGTCTTGGAAAGGAGGGATTGTTAATGCAGAAGGGAAACGCAGTGGGTGGATGACGTTGTCACCGTGAGTGACATCACATGCGGCGGACGGGGAGGCGGCGCTGTGTGTTGTCTGAGTCCTCGCAGGGCTGCCCCGGCCCGCCGCGCGACCCCCCGCCCCCCGGGGCCTTCAGACCCCCAGTGACTCACCGAGAAGATGGAGGCCAGCGTCTCGATGCCGCCGGTGCTCAGGGTGATGTACGGGATCTTCTCCTGAGCGATCCCAGCATTCCCAAAGATGCTGTTGGTGTAGAACCAGATCTACAATGTGGGAAAGAGCAGGAGGGAGGTCAGCGAGAGGCCTTTGTCTATCTAATTCAGCGCTAGAGCCACGCGGTGCCCTTCCCGGGAGCAGTCCTCACACATTCCTGTGCCCAGCTGATCTCCCTCACCATGAAGTGTGGCCATGAGATACGGAACTACTGCTTGGCTGCCAGGAATCCTCTTTATTATTATTATTATTATTTAAACAGAGCTTTTCACCACCCTTTTGATTGTTCTCTTGCCTTCCTTTCTGCTGGAGGGTAGGTGTGTTGGCTGGAGCATTAGGTGACACTGGGTCAGGATAGCTTTGTGAGAATTAGACTGTGTCCCTGTCCTACCATTTATCTCCCACTAGGAAACCGTCTTTATAAACCTATCAGGGATGTGTGGTGACATTCCCAAGATTGTGCAGCGCGTAGTCTGCCTACCTAGGCCTGGAGCCCCTGGCTTTGGGATGGAAGTGACCTAATCAGTGCTGGAGCAGGAAGTGAGGAAGTTACGCTCTCCTCCCCGATTGGAACCATTGTGTAGTTGATTATCCAGACTTGGGTCCATCTGGGAGAAGTAATAAAGACCTCAGCTCCACGAGGCATAAGACGAGGCCACAGCAGCTCCTCCCCCGCTTCTGAGACAGCAAGCCTGCCCTCCTGTGTAGGTGGCTGTGGGGGTGTCACGTGACGCCAGACCTCCTCCTCCCTGAGGGGAACATGGGCTGCTGGGTAAGAACTTGGAGACGTGGTTCTTTCTCCCACTAGCTGTGTGGCCGCAGACAACTCATTCCTCTCCCCAGGTTCAAACAAAACCACAGAGCCGTCTTGCCTGCCCTGTGTTGTGCCTGTAACTAAGTGAGGTGGTCACGATTCTGTGCCCGCTTTGAGTCAGGGTCAACAGGTGGGATTCCAGACTCGCGTTTGCCACAGGGCGGGCAGGGAGCTGCCCGGCTGGCATAGGTGAATTCGGATGAGGAGGCCTGGCCCGGACCCGGGGCATGCCGGCAGTCTAGCAGTTACTCAGCCGAGCCCGCACTGTCAGAGCTCGCTGTTCCAACCTGTCAGGCGCAGGGGGCGGCTGGCTGGCGTGAACGTCGGCTTTGCTTCTGGAGGGAATGCTTGTTTCTACGATGTTCTTCTTGTGACCAGCACGATTATTCATGATGTGTGAGAAGGGAGGAGATTTAGCACCTAGTTAGCACCTTTTAAGTGACAGAGGTTTCAGGCACACTTAGAAATGGAGCACGAACTGCTGCAGGGAGTTCCTGGTGGGCATCCATGCGTCTATTAATGGGCATGGGTTAACCAGGTGAGAAGGGCACCAATCCTGCGGTGTCAGCCTCTCATTTGGGTCAGCTCATCTTAGCCTCTGTCTTTGGTGTGATCTGGGGCTGTGATGTCTAGAGTCCAGAGTCCAGAGTCCTGAGGACAGCGGTAGCACTATGAGAAAAGCTGACTTCATTCCAGAATGCCTCCGTGTTCTGGAAGCTAGAATGCCTCCGTGTTCTGGAATGAGACACTGGATCTTCCAAAGAGAAGTCTCATGACTGGATTCTGGGATTCCAGAAGTTGAAGAGTCTTTGTGGTGGGCTGGGAAGGTGGCTCAGTGGTACAGTGCTTGCTTAGCATGCTTGAAGCCCTGGGTTCGATTCCTCGGTCTCACACACACAGAAAAAGCAGGAAGTAGCCCTGTGGCTCAAATGGTACAGCGCTAGCCTGGAGCAAAAGAAGCTCAGGGACAGTGCCCAGGCCCCGAGTTCAAGCCCTGGGACTGGCAAAAAAGAAAAAAAAAGAGTCTTTGTGTGTGCTCCACATGCCGTGGCAAATATATGTATATGATTTTGCCGATGCTGCAGCCGGCTCCCTGGCGCCAGGCGGTGGGATGGGGATGGCGGGGCAGAGAACAGCCAACCCGAAGCTGAGACCAGCCAAGCTCAGCCTGCACCGCTGCTGACTGCGGGGGGGGGGGGGGGGGGGGTGAGGTGGGTTTTCCCAGCAGAGTCTGCGCCTCTGTGGCTGCAGCCCTGCCCAGGAGGAGCTCACCCGGCTATGCGGGTCTGGGTATGGGGCCAGGGCTCCCAGAGCTCTGTGTGGAGGAGTCCCAGCTCTAAATGTCTTGCAAAACGCAGAATGTCCTTTAAGATACCAAGTGTGAGCTTCCCGAAATGGCAGCTTCTTTCTCCCATACCAGAGCGTGGGAAACAGTTTGGCTCCTTCCCTCCCCTGGCCCTGTCTGGAGGAGAAAACAGCAGGACATGGCCCTGGCATTCTGTATTCTGCTGACTTTACCGGCCAAGAGAAAGCAGAACAAGGAGCCCTATGGCCTCATGTCACTGTGGCATTTCGGAGAAGAGAGAGCGGTGGTGTTGAACTAAAGCAGCGCGCACCTGCGTGCAACTCCCAGAGGACCCCCTTCCTTGTCACTGTCCCTCCCCTTCCCTCCACACCCCCAAACATACCCTGCTGGCCTGGGTGGGCGCGGGCTCCTGCTCATCCCACAGATTCACAGAGCTGTGCCACCCCGGCTGTGAAGGCCACTGATGGCTGCCCATCTGCCCTCCTCTGGGCTCAGCCATGCTCCCACGGAGCTGACACTTTGCCCGTGTGTGTGTGTGTGTGTGTGTGTGTGTGTGTGCGTGCGTGTGTGTGTAAGGGTCCCCTCCAGGCCCCATCTTGGCGAATGGCCGGCCTGATGTGTGTACCCCATCTTGGATGAGTGACTCAGACCCCAGGGGAATCCCAGAAGCAGTGACAATGACAAGCACTGCACTCCTGGCCCGGGAGACTGTGCCTTCTGGGCACAGAGGGTCCGGAGCCTGACGGAAAGACGTGCACCCAGATCCCAAGACACTATGGAACCCATGTTTGACTCGAGCCCAAGTCGCAACCAGTTGAAGCCAGAGCTCAGCCCAAAGGACTTGTCTGCGCAGGGGCCACTACTGGGCCCGGCCTCCGCGGAGGTGGGCAGAGCAGCAGCGAGTGCAAGCCCCCAGCCGCCCGTCACTCACCCGCCCGTCACTCACCGCGTTGAGGCCACAGAGCTGGTAGCAGGCCATGGTGACGCCCACGGTGATGATCTGCCAGCGGACGGCGGGGGCCCGCAGCAGCTCCAGGACCGGCACCAGGCGTAGGTTCCTCTGCACACGGCTCTCGGCCAGGGCCTCGTCCACCTCCCGCGACACATCTGCCTTCCCCAGGAACGTCTGGAACGCTGCGGACGGACGCAGAGCGCACGGGCTGGAGCGCCACGCACGCTGCCCCGAGGGGACGGGCTCCACCCTCCACGCACCGCCCGCTGCCAGGTTTAAACTGGGAGAAACAGAGGCCCAGAGAGACGCACCGCAGGGCGAGAAGCCGTCCCTGGATTACCCCCCATCGGAAAGAGTGTGGATGATCGGGGTTCATGCATGGGGGACAGGGACGGGGTGGGATGCGTGGCCGTGTCCTGCGTGTCTCCCGTAATGGTTCCAGATTCTATGGCTGCTGAGGTCATCGGGAGGCGGGCTAACTTGGTGACATTGAGGCATGGGACCCAAGAGCCAGGGGCCAAGAGAATGAGAGCTAAGAACAAGAGAATTCAAGGATGGCTGCTGATGAGCGCTAGGGTGAAAACAAACATATTAGATTTGGGAGCGGTGGAGAGGGGAGGGAAGGAGACAGCGGGAGGGAGGAGAGAGGAGAGAAGAAGTACTGTTTTAATAGGCAGCTTGACTTCTCTCATTTCCCCGAGGCTCACCGTGCTTTTAACCTCGCACTAATGATTTGCCTGGAGTTCTGAACCAGCCGCAAGAAGAAAATCATCTGGATAAACTCCTCCCTGGACTAGAAGGAGACCTCGTTAAAGGAAAATATCTCTTAACTATGGGCTTTTTTGCCCTAAACAATTTTTTTTCATTCAACCAAGTTTTCCTGATCCTATTTTACATATAAGATGTGATCTTTTTGGTATTATTGAATGCATGTATTTATTTACTTTGTATTTATTCTCCTTCTTTTTCTTTTTCTTCTTCTTCCTCTTCCTCCTCCTCCTCCTCTTCCTCTTCCTCTTCCTCCTCCTCCTCTTCTTCCTCTTCTTTCTCCTCCTCTTTGTAGGTCATGGGGCTTTTTTTTTCTTTCTCAAGGTTGGTGTTCTACCACTTGAGCCCCAGCCAGCTCCACTTCTGATTTTATGGTGGTGAGTTGGAGATAAGAGTCTTATGAACTTTCCTATTTGAGCTGGCTTTGAACTGTGATCCTCAGATCTGAGCCTCCTAAGTCACTAGGATTACAGGAATGAGCCACCTTCACCCAGTTTATCTTATTGCCTTGTAAATAGTTGTACAAGGAGGTTTCGATTCAACCTGACAGTTGATGAGCACAATGCATCTTGATCCACCCCTTCCATCCTCCTCCCCCATCTCTCCCAGCCTGGCAGATGTTTAAACATGTTTCCCCCATGTCAGTGAAGGAGATGGTATCTCTGGGAATCCCAAACTCGCCTTAGGTTCTAAGAACATATGATACAATTAAAAGAGAGTTGGCACAGCCAAAGGATCAACTTGTCACAAAGGTAACCTGGACAGGACAGTCCGTGAGACTCTTATCTCCAATGAACCACCAAAACCCAAACCAAAACAAAACCCAAGCAAAACAAAACCCAAAAGGAGAACTGTGGTTCAACTGGTAAATTGCTAGCCTTGAGCATGAAAGCTCTGGGACAGCACCTAGGTCCTGAGTTCAAGCACCAGGATGGGCACCACAAAACAGAACAAATTTCTAGAAACCTCCCTGGTTCTGGTGACAGTTATGCCGTGTCAAATACTGTGCATGAACCCCTGGCTCGGAGCTGGTCCTGCGGCAACTGCTCCCATTATGTGCATTCATCGGGCATGTCCTGGTTGCCTTCCCCGGGGCTCACCCGCAGGGGAGGGGTGGAGAGGGTGCCCGTGGCTGCTTGGCCAGCACACTCTGGAGTCAACTATCACCAGAAGGAGTTCTGATTTAATGGCCTTCAAGACCTTTTCCAAGGGGGTCTCCTAAAATGAGCCTCCAGCTCTGCCCTAGAATGTGTATGCCTCAAGTCGAGACTCTCCACAAGCTCAGCTTTCCTGGGCTCAAACTGGGGATGGTGATTTGTGCCATTTCCGGGCTGAATGCCATAAAGTTCCAGCTGCAGGGAAACACAGTTTCCTCAAGATCTTAACTGTGTCCACTTCTGCAGAGGAAGGCTGGAAGGTGGGCTGACATAATGATCGGATCACAGGGGCATGCACTTAGAGCAAAGATTTAAATATTCAGCGCTCTGATAGTCTGCCCAAGGAAAGTGGGGTGGGGGTGGGGGAGGTCCAGATAGTTCCGTGGTCAGGCCAGGCCATGCACAGTGGGCAGCCTCTGTAATGACAAGGCTCAGCACCGTGGGGGGTGTGAAATTGCTGTTCTTAAGCAGGAAAAAAAAAATGGTAAAGCTGTGAAATTCACTCCAGATTTTTCAAAAAGCAAGCTCATCAAGGCTTTGGAGTGCTCTATCCAGCATGGCATTGAACCCTGCTTCCAGGGTCTCATTGAAAGCTGGGATTTAATACTTTTCCTGAGGCTAATTAAAGGTGAAGAAGAGAAGGAACCAAAATGTGTAATATTTCTGCGCCGTGCACTGCATCATCTTCTGTCTAACATGTCTCCGAAGTTCCAAATGCCACATATAAAAGAATTCTAAAGTGTGGAGGCAATAATATATGTCTCTTCCCTTCTTGATGTACATGTTTCCCATGATTGAACAAGAAGAACATTGATAGCATTTCTTTCCCTTTTCACATGGACGGCCAGGAAGCTCTCAGCCAAACTCAACACATGGAATAGTGACCCTCCAAAACACAGAAAAATCCATGCCTAGTCCCTAGAACAGGACACTTCACATGGCCAAAGGGACTTAGCAGATATGGACTTAGCACTGGGGAACACTCAGTGGGCACCTGCGTTGGTTGGGTGTAGCCTATCCGCTTTCCCTGAAGATCTACTTTGCTTCTAAGAAGGCCCAGGCCATCACCTCAAAACATGGGGCAGAAGAACGGTAGCTTAGGTGACTTGTGCTAAGTTGGGCCTCATGGGCAGCACCATGTACGAGCCTTCAAGGGACCTGTCTGGGAGACGCTGGCTGACCAGAGTTCTGGGTTTAGAGATGGAGACACAGATTGTGACTGGGAGGTGGAATGGAGGTATCTTCATCAGCGCTGGCTGCCGTGACAGCGGACAGCAGTGTGTGGTTGGACGGCAGGCATCCGTTCTCCACTGTCTGGAGGCACTGGCTGAAGTCACGTGGAGAGAGGAAATGCGCCCTGGCTTGCAGCAGCTGCCTTCAGCAGTGGCAGAGAGCTGCGGTGTGTTTTCATTAAGCTCCAGTGCCACAACCCAGTTACCTCCTCAGAGACTCATCTCTGGGTGCTCCTATTGGGGCTGAGGCTGAAGCACAGCAACCTGGGGACACAGAATTCGGTCCCCTCAAGTTGCTTGCTGTCATTGTCACAGCTGGCTGAGCCCATTGTCTTCATGCCCACAAGAGGAATAAAGACAGACACATGTTCTTTTCTTGTTTTCCCCCATCAGTCCTGGGGCTTGAACTTAGGGCCTGGGCACTGTCCCTGAGCTTTTCTGCCGAAGGCTCACTTTGAGCTACAGCACCACTTCTGGTTTTCTGGTGGTTCATTGGAGATAATAGCCCCATGTTCTTTCTTGTCAGGGCTGGCTTTGAACCACAGTCCTCAGCTCTCAGCCTCCTGAGTGGCTAGGATGACAGGCGTGAGCCACCGGTGCTTGACGAGCTACACATTCTTGGCCAGTCAGACTCTCAGCCCGGAAGTGCTTCAGCTGGAGGAAGTGGTGACCAGAAGTTGTGCACTTCCTCTCAGACTCACAGAGAACTGGAAGCTGGCGATAGTTCACCTCAGGACCTCAATCACCCTGAAAAGCCTCCCCTCCCCCCTCCCACCACCCCTGCAGCAAAAACATGGGGTGGCGAGAGGCAAGAGAAAAGTAGAGAGGTCCAGGAGACAGGGCTGGGTTCCAATCCTGCTGCTAGTCCGAGGTAGGACCTTGGTGAATCCCCCCCTGCAGCCTCCCACGTCCCCTTCCGCCCTTCCGCAGACCTAAGGAAGGCTGCTGACAACTTAGTGATGTAACACCTGCCGAGCAAACTTGCACCTGCGGCCCGAGTGTGTAACTCAGGAGGAACTGGAGGCTCCAAGGCTGACTCAGGACCACACTGCCTGGCTTTAAATCCCAGCTCTTCCACCTAGTGTGTTTCTGTGCCTCAGTTTCCACATCTGTAGCATGGACAAAATAGCATTGGGACTGTTTAAAATATTAAATGTTGGCATCCATGACACCATTAGAATAGTGTTGACTGTCAGTGAGCAATGAGTACTCTGAATGAAGTAAGGTTTGCAGCAGGAGGTGTTGATGGCCTTTTCTGTTTGGTTGGGAGAGGGGCTATGATGTTATGGATTGAATCGTATCCCCATAAAGATGGGTTAAAGTCCTAACTCCTGGCACCTGTGCGTGCAGCCTTCTTTGGCAAGTCCTCACGGGTAATGGAGATTCCCGTTGAGATGAGGTCATGCTGGACGACAGCGGCCTTGATCCCATGACTCTTGGAGGAGGAGAAGGGATGCAGTGCCTCATGGAGGAGACACCGTGTGCTGACAGGGGCCGAGGCTAGAGTGCTGGAGCCAAATCCAGCGAGGACCTTGAGCCAAGGGCGGCCATTGCCACCAGCCAGGAGATTGAGCAGGGCCCCGCAGGCACCTCCATCTCAGACTTCTGCTCTCCAGAGCTACTGGGGGCCCAATTGCTGCTCCCTGAGCCACCAGTTTGTGGCACTTCCTTACGACAGCATCCGCACTTGGTCATGGGCCACACGGTCCTTTGTGATCAGTACCAACAGGAGAATGGGACTCCATTCTTATGCACAGTGTAGGACTGGCGCTCCTAAAAATAGGCTTTGTGGAGACATTTATTTCTAACTACGATTGGGATTGGAGAGGGAGAAGTCAATGGGCTTTAGGGCATTGCCCAGAACTGTGGATCTTAAGCACGGTAGGAAGAAGGGGTAGAGAGGAAATAGTGGGGCCTTAGATGCAGTTTTTATAGCATTTTATTCTAGACTAACCCTCAAGTCTTTATGAGGAGAGAGTGCTGAGGAGCTACGTGGAGGAGCAGGCAGAGAGCTTTTAGTCCTCCTTTGCTTTTAGCAACTTACTGGTTAGTGAATCTGGGGATGGTAGTGTTTGGTTTCAATTGAAATAATCCTAAGAAATATACAGGTATTCATTTTAGGGATTCCAAAGAAGCCTGTGACCACAGAACTGTGAATTTCAGTAACTGCAGCAGCACAGACTGCAATGGGAAGTGTCACCTCTTCTCTAGCTAGGTACAGGCCTGCTGCTATCCTCTGTGGCCATTGATAGGGCCTAGCAGGGATGTGTGCGTATGTGCGCCTGTCCTGGGGCTTAACCTCAGGAACTGCGTGCTGTCCCTGTGCTTTGCTGCTCAAGATAGAGCTCTCCCACTTAAGCAACAGCTCCACTTTTGGCTTTTTAGTAGTTTATTAGAGATAAGAGTCTCATGACTTTCCTTCCCTGGGCTGGCTTTGAACCACAATCCTCAGATCTCGGCCTCCTGAGTAGGATTATAGGCATGAGCCACCACCAGCTGGCCTAGCAGGGATTTTTTAAAGGTTAAGGCATAATCAATCTATTTCCTCAATATAAAGATGCCATTTTTTTAAATAGAAATTGAGAAACCAGGAACATTTCAGGAGAAACCATGCCAGGAAAAGGAACTATTTGGAAGTGTTTCTACCATTGTATGGATTGGTAGCTCAACTCAATTACTTAGGTCACTATATCAAAGCTATGATATCTTCACATTAAAAAATGCCACTTGTAAAGGGTTTGAGAAAATCTAGGTGCGAGGTGACTTATGGCTGTAGTCCTAAGTACTCAGGATACTGAGATCTAAGAATTAAGGTTCAAAATCAGCCCAGGCAGACAAAACTGAGAGACTTATCTCCAATCAACCAGCTAAAAGCTGGAAGTGGAGATATGGCTCAAGTGGTAGAGCACCATCCTTGATTAAAAATGTAAGGGATAGTGCTCAGACCCTGAGTTCAAGTCCTAAGTGCTGGCATGCACACACACACACACACACACACACACACACACACACACACACACACGTTTGAAAAATATTTTCGTTTAAAAATCTTCCAACTGAAGAGATTCAGTGGGTCTTGCTTGCTAAAATATATGAAAGTAACCTCTTCTCATTATTTTGCCAGGACAAGTGGATAACACTAGAGAAGATGGAAATTCACTGGCTGCAGTTCCACCTCTCAAATTCCTCACTCTAGTGGTTGGATTGCTAGCTGAATACCAAGTGCATTCAGCTCACAGACTTGTTTCCATCTCTTTCTATATTACATGCTCTGTGAGGTTCTCCATCAAGACCATCAAGGTCATTGAAATGACTTGGTTAACATTCTGGGCTGGCCTTGAACCTTGATCTTCCCATCTCTAATGTCATAGTAGATGAGATTAAAAGCCTATGCAACCCTGCCTGGAGACAAAATAGTGCTTTTTATGGGAGAACTTTTTCTACGTGACACAAGGAGAAGGCTCCATCTGTGGTCCAGAGATGAACCCTCCCAGGACACTACACATATGGAACTTGGCTGTGGACATCCAGCTGATGGATTCCTTCATGTACAAAATGAATCTCTGTTGCATGAAAGCCAGCCAGCCTATGGAGCTGCGAGGTCAGATGGCAGTGCCGCTTATCCAAGTCCTCTTACATGACCACCATGCTGCCAACCGGGTCTCAATTTATACAGGAAAACAACTGGTATCTCATTCTATACTGTCTACTTCTGGGCAAATTTGGTTGGTCCATTTGGGGCTCTGTGTAATGCCTCTGATTGTGAAAGCCATTTTCTTGAATCTGTCACTGCACCCCAACATTTGGACATGGAAGGAAAGCTACCTGGGGTCATTCCCAGACTCCCCTCTGTTAGGGGAGGCTTCTACCTATGCCATGCTGCTGTTCATTCTGTGCCTGCATCTTTCTCTGACCTCACTTATAAATGCAAAGGCAGGGGCAGTTGGAAAAGAAAGAAAAAGGTCCATGAGAGCCACAATGTACCTAACCCACTAGGAAACCCAAGTTTGGGTCATCCCTAGAGTAGAGAGTGAAGAGAGCTGGGTCTTGTCCCGTCTCACTCAACATTTCCAGACTCTTTGGGTGTCTCCCCTGTGCTGCTACAGCAGGGCCATTCAGAAAGTTAACAAGAAGGGGGGGTCCTATGGTGTCCAGCACAGTACCTGCAGGAAGGAATCAAGATGGCGCCACTTCCTGTGTCCACTGGCCTAGGTCTCTGCACACCACCGTGCAACAAGAATCCCACTCACAGCAGGCCAGGGCCCCTACCTTTCACAGCTCCCGTCTCATCATGCTTCTCCAAGAGGAGGTAGCGAGGGCTCTCAGGGAGGAAGGGCAGGACTGCCAGCTGCACCACGGCAGGGACAACGATCACTCCAAACAGGTATGGCCAGGTGCTCTCCTGTGGGGAGGAGGAGATGATCATGAAGCAGGTGACCCTTGGCATGATGCCTGGGCTGGGCCAAGAGCCCAAGCGGCTTCATCTCTGCAGAAGGCCTCCCAGCTTAGCACGAGCCCAATGATGGAGAGAGAGCAAAGCTGGGGCAGAGAAGCAGAGGGAAGGAGCAAGGGGAGAGGGAGTTTCCATGCATAATTCAGTGACTTTTTTTCTGACAATATTGGTTTCAACTCAGATCCTCAAACCTCATAGGCAGTCACTCTACCTCTTGTGTCATGCCTCCAGTCCCCTTGCTCTGGTTATTTTTGAGATAATGTGCCTTTTTCCCTTTAGGCAGGCTTGGACTATGATCCTCCTATTTACACTTTTTACTGTAGCCGGGATGGCAAACGCACATCATGAAGCCTTGCTTTTTTCCCTGGGTTGGTCTGAAACCATGATACTCTCAAACTCCCAAGTGGCTAGGATTGCAGGCATGAGCCACCAGTGCCTTGGCGTTGGCTTCCTTGCATCTTTCTCAAGCCCAAGAATTCCCGGTGACCCCCAAGGTTCTCCTGAGCATTGGTTCTAGGGAATCAGCACTTCCTGTTACAGATGGGCAGGGATGGTACAGGCATATAACTACTGTTCCAAATGTGTCTTGGGAGAATGAATGGAGAGGAAAGAGGCTTTCTCACCCTGGTCATTACCAAGGCTTCTTCTTATTTGTAGAGGGAAGGCTCTAGGTCTTTTCAGAGAGTTTGCAGAAACAGGAGATCAAGGAAGAGGAGAAAGAAGAGGAGGAGGCAGCAGCAGCCTGTCCGGTGCTGCGGAGCGTCTTTCCTGGGCTGGTGAGAGCCACATGCTATATGGAAATCTGCCTGTGCTTTGGGGCGAGGGTCCTTCCCCTGCTAGTCTACCATACAGGAAAGATGTGGATAGTTGGCCATTTTTAACTCTCAATAAAAAAATGGATGATCTTGCAAATAACTTATTACCTTTTTCATTTGAAATAGATTTCTGGGTCATATTTCTCCCAGGATATGGGAGCCTTAAGTCCTTTCCATAAATACTGCTTCCCTGGGACCCTACTTGCCTAAAATACCTCTATGGCCCCATGGTTCCAAACTGCTGCACCTGCCTGCACCTTGGTGAAAGAGGCTGTGTTGGCCATACTTCAGTCAGGTTTCAGACCTTCTGTTGGGCCGCTTGTGGGTTTCCTTATAAAAGCCCAGAGACAGCAGAGAACTTTGCCAATGGGTTTAACAGAGTGAGTCCCACAGAGTCCCTCCAGTATCTGATCTCCTTCCATCTAGGTAGACTCACCATCTTCTGCCACCCCTAGGTGATGCTGGATCACCTGTTCAGGAAGAATTCTTTTTTTTTTGGGGGGGGGGGTCTGTCTGATTGTGGGGCCTGAACCCTGGGCCTGGGCGCTGTCCCTCAGCTCTTCAGCTCAAGGCTAGCTCTCTACCACTTGAGCCACAGCACCACTTCTGGCTTTTTTTCTGCTTATGTGGTGCTGAGGAATCGAACCCAGGGCCTCATGCATGCAAGGCGAGCGCCCTACCACTGAGCCACCTTCCCAGCCCATCAGGAAGAATTCTACGGCCAGTTTGGACACGAAGCTTTCTCTGAATCATGTCTATCCACTGCCCACATCCTGCTCCTTGGCTGTAAGCCCATGCTGTCTTCCTCCTCTGCACATTCATTCATGCTGTGCTGTACATTCATGCTCTCTCCATGGTCCAGATCAAAGTCCACGAGTCATGCCTCCTCCCAGATGCCTGGTGGGTGGTCCACTGAGAACCCACAGATTCTCAATCTCAGCATGGTGCTGTTCTTCCGTCCTGGCTCACACATGCCTTCTCCACCACAGCCGAGGTTAGTGCCATAGACTGAGCGCCCACTCCAGAGACCGCTGGGTCCCCTCCAGCCCCGTCTTTCTCTCGCCCACTGTCCTGATGAGATCCCACGGCTTCCATTCCCTGCCTCTTTCTCGCAGGCACCTCTCCACTTTTCTCCTCATGACCCTCACATGATGGCGCTTCTCCCTGCATTTTTTCCCTAGGTTCTCGTAGTGGCCAAGAGCTGTGCACAAATCTTTCTGCCAACCTTTCCTTTCAGCTCACATCCTCAGAGTGACCTTTCTAGAAGGTGAATTTGACTTTATCTTGGGGATAAAGTCAAAAACCTCTTGGCCTTGACTATTAAACTCTCCTCCTGGCTCTTGCTCAGGATGCCAGCAGACACCTGCTTGACACCTACCCTGCCCTGACAAGCCGTGAGCTTTTCTGAATCTTCCACGTCGATCCATGATGCTGTTCCCTCAACGCTTGTCTACAGAGGACCCGGGGCAGCTGCCCTTTCCACAGGATATCCATCAACTCACCCTTCAGATTTTAGCAATTCCTTCCCCAGATGACATCACAAGATGGTACAAAGCTCCACCAGAGCACACTTAACCCTGGTTAGCAGTGGTTCCTTCCTGGGCCTAGCTACCCTGTAGATTATGCCCCCAAGGGCCATTTTTACCTTGCGCCTTTGTGTATCTGCTCAGTGCCTGGCCAATGCCAGGTGCACACATGCGTTTGTGGGCTCCATGCACACTGGATAAGGCTGAGTAGATAAGCCACATGGCAGCATGGAGGTAAACTCTTGAAGCAACACTGTTTTTCAATGCTAGAGCTTTCTGATATGGTAACTCATTAAAGAGCAGGCAGTTTACAGTACTACAAATACTATTCTCTAATGTAGCATTATTGTAATTTCCCATAGAAGATTTGACTTCATTCCTGCCCTTCCTCCCTTCTTTCTTTCCTTCCTTCCTTCCTCCTTCTTTTTCCCCTTTTCTTTTCCTTTTTTTTTTTTTTTAAAGAAACATCTTTTATCAGTCTCATAACACACACCTTATTGAGAGAAACACACATACCTGAAAGCAAAATGCTACTTTGGCCCAATTTGCCAAGTCCCACAAATAAAGAATTTTAAAGTAAATGTTGAGGTGTTAATTATGGACTAGGAGAACTTTGTTTTTGAGAATGACATTTAGGATTTTGGGTGTTTGTCCTTTTGATCTGAAAACTATTCATGTCTTTATAGGAAAATAAAGGATGTGAAAAATGTTTTTTTTTCTTTTTCTTTTTTGTTTCAAATTTTTGCCAGTACTGGGGCTTAAACTCTAGGCCTTGGTGCTGCCCTGAGCCTCTTTGTGCTCAAGGCTAGCACTCTACCACTTGAGCCATAATGCCACTTCTGGCTTTTCTCAGTAAGTTATTGGAGATAAGAGTCTCATGGACTTTCTTGCCTGGGATGTCTTTGAACTGCGATCCTTAGATCTTACCTAGCCTCCTGAATAACTAGGATTACAGGTGTGAGCTACTGGAGCCTGGCTTAAAAAATCTTTTTTTTTTCTTGTCAGTCACGGGGCTCGAACTCTGGGTCTGGGCACTGTCCCTGAGCTCTTCAGCTCAAAGTGAGTGCTCTACCATTTGAACCATAGCACCACTTCTGGTTTTCTGGTGGCTAATTGGAGATAAGAGTCCCATGGATTTTCCTGCCCAGGCTGGCTTTGAACTGCAACCCTAAGATCTCAGCATCCTGAGTAGCTAGGATGACAGGTGTGAGCCTCTGGCACCTGGCTTGAAACATCAATTTTTAAAAATGTGTTTTTCAGGGGCTGGGAAGGTGGCTCTGTGGTAGAGTGCTTGCCTTGCATGCATGAGGCCCTGGGTTTGATTCCTCAGCACCACATAAGCAGAAAAAGCTGGAAGTGGCACTGTGGCTCAAGTGATAGAGTGCTAGCTTTGAGCTGAAGAACTGAGGGACAGCGCCCAGGCCCAGAGTTGAGGCTCATGACCGACAAAAAAAAAAAAAAAAGAAAGTAAAAGGAAAAAAAGTGTTTTCCATTATTCTCAATGAAAAGAGGAGGTGTGAAAGTTTTTTACATTTACTTAAATAAAACTTTAACCAAGTGCTATGGCTCATGCCTATAATCCAAGCTACTCAGGAGGCTGAGATCAGAGGATCATGGTTCAAAGCCAGCACAGGCAAAAAAAAGTTTATCTCCAATAAACTACTCAGAAAAATCTGGCAGAGAAGCTGTGGCTCAACTGGTAGAGTGCTACCCTTGGGCAAAAGAAGCTTGGGGACCAGGCCATTATTTCAAGCCCTAGGACTGGCGCACACACACACACACACACACACACACACACACACACACACACACACACACACAATTAAGCCCACAATGAGTGCCTCATACAGGAGTCTAATGTTCTAACTCTTTTAAACAACTAGCTTACTGTTTAACAACATGAACACCAGGAACCTGGAATGCGTGTTGTCAGGGGGCGGGGGCTGAGGTCAAGGAGAGTGTGTCAATAATAATAATGTAGAGGTTAACCAGTGAATAAACAAAACTTGTACCGTAAATGTAGGGGTGAGAGGGAGGAAGGGGAAAGAGGGATAGGGGTGTAAGGACGCTAAGATTTTGACTGCTGTGGTAAGACGTCAGCGAACAATGTTTAAAGCAAAGGAATCTACAGTACTGTTAGGTCCAACTATGTTTATGCAGGGCAAACACTTCGCACATTTCTGCCTTCACTCAGCCCGCTTCCTCTTCCCCTCCACCATATGGAACAAAGGCTCACAATGGCCATTCTGCATTTCAAGACCGAAGGTCGGAGGAGCCAAGTATCTGCGTAGGACATCAGGAAAATCAAAGAGGGGGTGACACCAATGTACCATCTTGGCTGGATCCTGAGCCTGGATGTGTCTGGCTGTGTGCACTCAGGGTTCTCCAGAAGCAGTACTTACTTATTTATGATGGTGAGCTCGGGACACCCTACTTGAAACATGTCCCGTCTTTTAGCATTAGTTTATGTGTGGTGCATGTGTGTGTGTGTGTGTGTGTGTGTGTGTGTGTTTGTGTGTGTGCGCGCATGTGTGTGTGTGTGCGCGCGCGCGTGTGTCTGTGTGCATTGGAACTTGAACACAGGCCTGGGTGATGTCCCTGAGCTCTTTTTCTTTTTCTCAAGGGTAGCAAACGGTACCACGTACGCTCTGTACGCTCTGGTACTGTACCACGTTCAGCTCTCACCTTCCTGTGTAGCTCGGTTTGCAGGTGTGAGCCGCCAGTGCCTGGCTCTAGTTTTACTTATTTTTCAGATAAAGCCTCATATTTGTGCCCGGGCCCAGCCTAGGACTGCAGTTCTCCTACCGAAGCCGCTCTTGTGGCTGGGGTAAGATGACATCATGACCCTGGGCCAGCTCTTTAAGGTAGGATCTCACCAACTCTTTGCCCAGCCTGTCCTTGGATTATAACAGACATGAGCCCTGACACACGGACTCGGAACCATTATTTCCCAGAGAGAGAGTGGCCTCGAGGTGGGCGGTGGGTAGGGCTGGGCTGAGCTTGCAGAGGGCTGCTGGTCCCACAGTCCTCTGTGACTCCGTGACTGCCCTCAGCACTGGCCCTTCAGCACAGCCCCGGCTACAGGCCACCCACTCAAAGAAGAGCTAACTAGTCATTTTCCCAGAGGCTGTCTTAGAAATAGGACAGCAAAGTTCAGACAAGCTTCAAAGACTTTCTTTAAAATTCCAGTTGACATGACTTCAAGAACTATTAAATTTATCTTTCTTGCTCTTCAACCTTCCTGGTCTGTAGAGGAGACACCAGCTGGGCTGACCATGGGGCTTAAGTGCCCCCAGCCCCGGGCTCAAATCACCACCCAGCAGTAGACATTGTCAGAAATGCCAGCAGGCAGAGCTTCAACAATGCCACAGCCTCTCTGGCTGATGGTAAACTGGAAGTCGGGGCAGGTGGCTCATTGGAACCAAAGCACCCTGAGCACTCAGGTCTGACTCAAGCACTGCAGGGGAGCCTGGTGGTGGGGGTGGAGAGGGTTCTATTGAGCTCTCCTAGAAAAGTCCAGCCAGGCTCCTCATCCTAAGCCCAAAGTCAAGAGGATCATGTGATTTCCCTCCCCCGTGAGGGTCAGCTCAGGATTGTAGATCTGCAGTCGGACCTATGACAATAGAAAGATGGAACCCCTGGCCTTGGGCCTGGGAAAGACAGGCTGCAGAAGACCACTTGAGCAGGGTGCAGAACAAAGCAAATCTAGAAGAGGAGTCTCGTTTGGGGGAGACTGAGGCAGGCACAGTGAATTCTTGTGTCCAATAGGAGTGAAAGCATTAAAGGAAGGGAGGGCCCTTCTCTCTGGGCCTTGAAGGGTGGAACTGTCAGAGGAGATGGAGAAGGAGGCCCCAGGAAGCAAGGGCGGAAGCAGATGCTGTGATCTCCAGGGATGGGATGGAGGGCGGGGGCAGTGCCTTCGACCGTCCGTGTGCATGGGAAATGAGTCAAGGGAGTCTGACAGAAATGAGCACTGTGAGGAACCAGCTTCAGTCCAAAGCCTGGAATGGGGCTGAGAAGCCTTGTTAACAATCTCCACCTGTGCTGCCAACTTACTGAGGGAGGAGGGAGCTGGGTCACAGGGGCTTGACACGTGCCACCCAGTCACGTGCACGTCCAAGCCTCATCCTAGGGAACCCAGAGAACTACAGACAGAGGTAAGGGAGAGGTTTGATGTGTTTAGTTTTCCTCCCCTTCCCCCACCTTCAATTCTTGCAAACAAGCTGTTGACTGTTTTGTAAAGCCAAGGTTGGCTGCACATGGATGAACGATGGGCTTGCAACCGTCCGTATCTTCTGCATTTCAGGGATTTGGCTCAATAGGTATCTGGCAGGTGGGGATGGGAGTCTATACTTCTAGCATATTCCTCCACAGGGTGTTAGGGGGCGGTCCTGTCCTGCCTGCTGGGTTTTGCAATAGCTGTGCGGTCACTGAAGGAAGCAGGTACTGCAGCTTCCAGACACTGGGCCCAGCGCCCTTCCCGTGGGAGAGACTCTGTTAGCAATACAGATGCCACAGCAAGCCAGTAGGACTTTTCCTGGCCTCTGTAAAGATCCTACATTGTCTAAAGGAGAAAACTCAGCATCCTAAGTAAGTGTCATTTAAGGGAAACTGTCCTCTGAAGTGGTGTTGGGAATGTGAAGGTTGGGGCTGGGAAGGTGGCTCAGTGGTAGAGTGCTTGCCTTGCATGCACAAGGCCCTGGGTTTGGTTCCTCAGCAGAAAAAGCCGAAAGCGGCACTGCGTCTCAAGTGGTAGAGCGCTCGCCTTGAGCTGAAGAGCTGAGGGATAGCGCCCAGGCCCAGAGTTCAAGTCCTACGACTGACCAAAAAAAAAAAAGAGTGAAGGTTTGTTGGACCTAAGGGCACATAACTATAATCCCAGATATTTGAGAGATGGAGGCAGGAAGATTGCAAATTTGAAGCAGTCTGAGCAAAGGTAGTGGTGAAAACTCATTGGGAACAGATGCCCTCTTCCCCCCACCATGACAGGAAGCCGCTCACTCATGGCTCATATTGTTCCCATGTCTCTTCAGACTTCAGCCCACGATTTTCATCTAAGTTCCTCCTTTCTTCATCTTTGCAAGAGAAATCATGAAGCAATATGCTTTTTGAAACAACATTTGGAAGCTCCAAATGTCACATAAACATTCCAGCAGCACCTTGTTTTATGATGGGCCGGAGGAAATTCACGCCCCACCCTGAACACCCACCCCTGGCCCCTCTCTGGCCTGGCTCACACATTGCCACCTTCTCACCATTCCCTCCAGCTGCACCTCAAAGGGACTGCCTGCACGGAAGCAGAGCTTTACAACCTTTCTTCCCCCTAAGCTCCGTTATCTCTGTCTTTGAAGGTAAATGAAAATAAATGATTAGACTAGAGAAGAGGAAGTCCTGACCCCCAGTGAAATAACTGTGGATCTCACTTGGCTGGAACACTGTGTATCTCCAAAGAGAGGAAGGCAAAGACTTCATGCGATGTCCTTCCTGGAGAAAATAGTCCAATGGTCACCTTCCCAGAGTGTGAATTTGGAAAATAAAAACAAACAGTAACTGGGCTATGAACACGCCTTCCAAGCCAGGGCCAAGGTGATCTAGAAAATCTAAAGCTTGGGGAAATATTGTTGTTTGGATACAAAATGTCCCTCCAAAGACTCATGTGCTCTGAAAGCCATATTCAAAGGAGGTTTGGGAACTGATGGGATCCTAAGGGCTCTGGCATAATCAATGATCAACCTGCTGATGGCTTATACATTGATGGGATTTTTTGGGAAGTGATGAGAACCAGAAGCTAGGGCCACCTGTAGGAATATCCCTGGGCCTGTGTTTGGAAGATACCTCGCCCTGGCTCCAGGTCCACTTGCTCTGCCTCTCCACTTCCTGGCTGCCATGAGGTAAGAAGTCCCCCTGCCCCCAGCATGCCTGTCCTTCCATGATGTTCTCCCTTACCACAGCCCTTACCACAGCAAGGTAGACAGCCAGTCCTGGACTGAAACCCCAGAAGCACACATCTTTCCTCTAAGCTGTTTTACTCAGGTATTTTTGTCACCTGATTAAACAACTGACCAACGCAGGAAGAAACAGCCTGCAGGCAGCAATAACTTCTCTCAATAACTTCTTCTGCCCCAAGCCCAGGAGGTAGCCTTGGCCTTGCGCTCATTCGTCACCCTCTTCATGTTCACCATCTCCTGACCTCCAACCCCCCAGGTCCCCCCAGAGGGCTCCACTCCATCTTCAGGCCTTTGTTATCGATTACTTAATTATTATTTTTGTTCCCTTTCTTAGGATGTCCTATTGCCCAGCCCCCACCATCCACTGCCTGACTCCTGCTCACCTCGGAGGGTCTGGTTTAGACGCTGCTTCTGGGAAGCCTTCCCGGATTCCTCCCCTTGTTCCCACGTGGATGAGTAGACACTTTTCCCCAGGCCACACAGAAAGTGCACTACTATGCTTAGATTCTAATTCTGGCCTTCCTGTTCCCCAAACATCAAGCCAAATCAGAAAATGTGTGGTGATCATTTATTTAGGGGGAAGAAAGACTCTCGAGTGAGGGCAAAGATGCTCAACTACGTATTGAATGAAATCTGAACAAGGGGTGTGGCATGATTCTATTAAAAAGGCAACCAACCAAATCTGTTTATATGGTTTGCAAGGAAGAAAGGATGGCTAAGTGAACATCCATTGAGTTGTTAACCATAGTTTGAATATGTCTGTAGTCATCGCATGACTCCCAACAGCCTTACCAGTGAGGGAACGGCTCGGACCCCTCAGGAATCATGTGGGTAGGGATGAACTCTGCGGGAAGGACTCCCGCCAGGATGGTAACAGTGAGGAGAGAGCGGACATGGCTGGCCAGGGCGCTATGCTTACCTTTCCCAACAGCTCAGGCAGGCCCAGCAGCTGCCCAGCAAACACGCCAGTGCAGATGAAGATGGCGGTCATCTGGCCCAGGGCGCCGCGGATCTCCTTGGGTGAGATCTCGTTGAGGTACATGGGCAGTGCACTGAGGGCGATGCCTGGGGAGGAGGCGAGCAGCAGTGAGAGAGCCAGACGGGCCTTCTGGTCCCCAGGCCTCCCGCCCTGCCTCTGCGCCTTCTTGATAATGAGCAATGCTCCAGCCGCAGTTACCATTCCCAGCACACCGCACAAAGCACAAGGCCTTCATAGGTGCGTTGTCGTTTAAACCATCAAGCGGGGCTGGGTTGTGTTTCATGGATCAGGATGGAGATAATGGTGGTGGCGGCGCGGTGATAACGATGCTAAAGGTGGCGGTAATCACGGTGATGGTGGGGCTAATGATAGCGGCAATGATATAATGAACGCAAAGATGACGGTCAGGACAGGTTTCCATCAGGGAGATGGAAAGGAACCATCAGCAGCGCTGAAACCTGGTCTGCACCTACAGCCTCTAGGACTATGAAACGGCATACTTCCATGGTTATGAACCTCTCACCCAAAATCAACACTCTTCTTCTTTACGGAGCTATTTCCCGATCACACAGTGTAAATCAATTAGTCCTCCATCTGTTCACCCCATCTGGGGTCCCTCATAGCTTTTCATGTTGTACGGAATTCTCAGGAATTCATCCCAAGAGCTTAGTGGATGTCTGAAACCATGGATAGTACTCAACTCTATACAGAGTCTGTCTTTCCCTATACTTATATATTTATGGTAAAGATGAACAAATTATGTGCAGTAAGAGATTAACAGGCTGGACTTTGTGGTACATGCCTGTAATTCCAGCTTCTTAAGAGACAGAATATGAAGATTACAATCTGAGGCTCACCCTGGGTAAAAAGTGTTGAGACTCTATCTGAGAAATAACAAAAGCAAAAAAGGCTGGGGATGTGGCACAAATGGTAGAGTTCATGCTTGGTGAGCACAAGGTTCTGAGTTCAAACCCCCGTACTGCCAAAATAAAGATTAATAGCAATAACTAAGAATAAAATAGAAAAAATTTAACAATATGTTAAAATAAAAGTTAAAACTTATTATTTCAGGAATTTCCTATTTAATATTTTCTGACAACTGAAACTATGAAGCTCTTAAGGTAGCAGACTTGGACTTGCACCTGGGACCACGGACAGGCCTAGGAAGGCCAGGGCAGGAATGTGTTCAACACAATGATCTCTGCGATCTACATACTTTTTTTTCCCATTACACCATACTGTGTCCTATTTGTGTCAATGTAAAAGATAATGTGTTTGTTTTTCTCTCTGTCTTCTAGAAAAAGTCCACTCCAGGAAGATGTCCTATATTCAAACATTCAGGAGATCTCAGTCCATCAGCAAATGGTTGAGCCTTCTACCTTCTGGAATTCTCCGTATTCATCACTGGCTTTTAATTCTTTACTATGTACACACTGCCAATCTAACTCATGACCAGCAATTCTCCTTTCTTCCAAAGCAACTTCCTTCACCTTACATGCCCTCATGTTCCCTTCTCTGTTCAGAGAGGGTTTGGTGAGAATAAACGACAGCAACTCGAGTTGTGGCACAGCTCCAACAGACCATGTCCAGAGGTCAGGAGACTGTGTTTGTGTGTGTGTGTGTGTGTGTGTGTGTGTGTGTGTGTGTGTGTGTGTGTGTGTGTGTGTGTGTGTGTGTGTGTGTGTGTGTTTAATTATCTCCTATTCTTTCCTCTCTTTCTTCCTGCTTAAAAAAATCTCCTTGGAATGGGATCTAAAGGACATTCGTTGTGAATGTGTGGTGTGTTAAAAGTGGCATCTATCTTTGAATATGGCTTATTTTTAGTTAAGGAAATTCAGAGTGTACCTAGCACCTATAATTGGCATTAGCAAGTACTAAAAGCAATGGAAAAGGATCTAAATGGATAAAATAGAAAATCAAAACCAGCAGAGAACAGATCTTGGAGACCTTAAACCATCCAGCTTTCCTCCAAGGCTGGTGGGTCTGTAAACCAGGCCCCTTGGGTCCAGACCCTGGAGCTAAAGAAGAGTAGTAGCCGCGGCCATCATACAATAACTGCCCTCACCATGTCTGGGCTGCGGACAGGTAAAAGGGTGCCAGATTCTGGAACTGAACCAATTCCTTCACACACAGTAACGGCGTTTTTGTTGTTAGATCACACCACCGGGAGACCCTAGTGTGAGGTCAGTACAGGCCAAGGAGGTGGCTCGGATGGGAGGGAGGTTGGTGTTGCTACTCCTGCACTCACACCCACATCCACAGGGCTCGCTTGGTCCAAGGGATCTAGCGAATGTGCTTCCAAATGTTTCCAAGCTGGGGCTTTCTCTTCCCTGCTTGGGAGCTCTTGGGATTCCACGTGAGGAAGTCTGGGCTGTGGCCTCCAGCTGACGTGCGGCTGACAGCATGGCCCAGCCCAGCTGCCCTGAACAGAACTCCAGGCAGCCGTGGAACTGGGAGCGCAGTGCAAGGTTATTGCGTTCCGCGTTGCTGTTTTATGTAGCCTAGCTTAACCAACAGATTACGAAATCTTCCCAGGTAAATAACAGCCCAGATGATCTGAACCAACTGCCTTCATCTTTCTGAGTCTCGATATCGTCATGGAAATTAGGAAAGATCAGAGATTAAATAACACAAACTCTATGTATTATAAACATAGAAACTTCATGAAATCCAGCCGTTTCATAAGATTCTTTCTTGAGCTGGCCTTTCCCTCTGTGCAAATATTCAGACCACGTGCATGTGTGTTCTATGTTTAGGTTCAGGGTGGGCTGCAAGCACAAGAGTCCTGGTAACCAGGGCAACTGAAATGGATCTGCCCACAAGACATGTCTTTCCTGACCTCCAAAGAAAGGTTTGAGCCTATGAAATAGTGCATCAAATCAGTCTCACCTAAAGGAGGCTTAATAAAGATGCTCATGAAGTTCCTGGGGCCAGGTGAGTTGATGCCAAGTCCTGGTAAGCAGGGTACATTTGTCACATGAACCCCTCTACCCCGACCCTCACTGTGCTATTTGTAGAAGGTGTGATGACACTAAAGTGACCTGTTGGCCTTAAGCACCAAGGAGTTCGGTTCGGGATGATTCACTATGCATGAGGGGCACGCGCAGATGCACAGGAGCTCAGCAGCTCTATCTGCCCATCAACCTGTCTGTCATGGCTCAAATGCTGGGTCATCTCAGGATGACCATACTAACCCTGACCCAAAGGGTCAAAGCGGCCACTGCTCTGGAGCCTTGCTCTGGCCTCAAGGCACATCTCCCTTTCCCTCTAACTGCCTTTCCCTCCCAGGCTCTGACACTTTACATCTCGATTGGATTCATCACTTGCCGGACTTTTGGGAAACAGTTTCATTCTAGCCTAGTATAGCTCTTCCAAGTAGGGATTCTAGGGTGTGGAAAACAAGACTCAGCTATTAAGTAACTGGAAGTCAGAGCCATAAGATGTAAGACGACTTCCCTGATTCTCCCCCCATCCCCCCGCGCCCTCCCCTCCCTCCCTCCCCCTCTCACCCCCCGCCCCTGCCCCCTCCATCAGCCTCAGCTCCCAGGCTCTGCCACCCTTACCAAGCTCCTTCCCCTCAATCTTTCTGGAACGTGCCAAGCACCCTTCCACCTCAGAGCTCTTGTTCTCTCCTTGCTGCTGGAGAACCAATTCCCCAGTCTTAGCTCAGTTCTCATCCTTGGTTCATTCTGGTCCCTGCCCAGGTGTTCTCCTCCAAACACTCTTCCCTGACGGGCTTTTCTAGAATAAGAGTCACTACGCCCCTGATGTGCTTTGCTTTCTTTGTAGCTGTCTGCCCTGGCAGGAGCAGATCTTCTATGGTCCTCCACATACACAACACCAGGCACTATCCTCGCCATTAATGCTGGTGTCTACAGAAAAGAATACATGAGTCAGAGGCCCAGACAGGAACCACAATCCTCGTCAGCACTCTCCAGAAACCCCAGGTAGCATTGGGATATGAATTTTAGGCCTTTTGGACCGACTTTGGTTTATTCAGCCAGTTGGTTTTCAACGAAGGGGATAAAGCATTGCTAGAGGGATGTTCCATCCTATGGGTCTCTCCTGCTTCCTGTGAGGTTCCGGAGTGCTTGGCCCCTGCCCACCGAGCAGCCGTAGCAAGATGCGGCCTTGTGCAACCTTCAACAACTCTCAATTTCTAGTCAACCCGCAGGTATGTATTCCTGCCCACCTCCCCGGTCACGTGACCACTCACCTCCATCCACACCCATGATGAAGCGTCCTATGATGAGCATTTCAAAGGCTCCCGCCAGGAGAGAAAAAGCCATCAGCAATGCAGCAGAAATCCCAAACACATTGTTGATCAGCAGTGTGGACTTCCTGGAGGGAAAGAAGAGGCTTGGTGAGGATGCCTCACGGTGAGGCCTGTCAGTGTTCTGTGGTCGCAGAAGCAGGGACAGCCCTTCCAGAAGGGTCTGCGGAGGGGCGCTCAGGCAACATGGGAGAATAGGAGCCTGGGTCCAGCCCCTGATGGCCACCGCTGGCTGTGTGTGGCTCAGCCAACCATTTTTCACGCACCATTTTCACAGTTCTTACAGTTGGCCACAGGTAATTGGAACTGAAGCAGCAAAACCACAGATAAACTCTCGAATACAGAATACAGCTGAGAATACAGAATACAGCCGTTTGCTTGTTTACCCTCTCATCTCTTCCTCTTTCTCTGCTCTGGTCCATTTCAAAGAGAACTGCACTCCCGGGCTCCCTTTTATTCTGGTTTACTGGTAGGACTCACTGACCCGAGGCCTCGGGAGGGTGGAGAGGAGCAGGGCTCCCTCCCCTACCGCTTGCGTTAGAGCAGCCCCGTCCCCTCCCTGCCCTGGACCACACGGGCCTCCGATCCTGTGATGCTACTTCCTGCCTTTGGCTTTCCATACCAAGAACTTGATTGTAAAGGGGAAAAAAAGTATTTCTTACAAACAAGCAAAGTATCATCCACCTGCTAGTCCCTATTCTACAATTTGAGGTCACACAGAGAAAAAAAAAACAACCAAAAATACACTCCCCCCCAAAAAACCCCAAAACTTTGTTGGTGTGGAAGCTGAAAATATATAGAGAGATTTTCCTCAGAAGTAAGGCAGGAAAGAGCTGTGGATACGCATTCAACGTTCTCGGAAGTTGGGCAAAACAACGGCCCTTGGTTCTGTAAACTTACGAAATAAAGGGCTCGATTAGAAAGCAGAGCTCAACACTTCTTCCCAGATACCTTCACTGCCTATGACAGCGAAACTGAGTTTTTGTTATTGTTGTGGGGCTTGAACTCAGGGCCTGAGCACTGTCCCTGAGCTTTTGTGCTCAAGGCTAGTGCTCTACCACTTTGAGCCACAGCTCTACTTCCAGTTTTCTGGTGGTTAATTTGAGACTTTCCTGCTTGGGCTGGCTTTGAACCACGATCCTCAGATCTCAGCCTCCTGAGTGGCTTGGATTACAGGCGTGAGCCACCAGCCTAAACTGGACATTTGACACTAGATAGTATGAACAAGAATTGTAGAAACGACTCTGGCCTCTTCGAGTATCTCTGAAGCCCAGCTGCTCCTCAGATTTACCACTAGTGTGAGTGAACACGGCCATGGGTCACTTGGTAACAGCCATCCATTCTCAGGAATGTGTCACTAGGCAATTTTCTTTATCACCATGTGAGCGTCACAAAGCATGCCGAATGTAAGCAAAGTGGCATGGTCATCTGGTGACACGATCTTTGGGATCACTGGGGAGACAGAAACACCTGCAAGGAGACCCTCAGATCTACCATCAGAGGCCCAGATCCCATGGGAGACCTCCAGAGTGGTCACCAAAGCCAGGGCTGTGCTACTAGCGATCTCACCTCATCTTTAATGGCAATGTCTACATCAACGGCAATGTCTACATCAGAGCCCTGCCTGTGTGGCTGGGCTCTTCCAGCCTGTGTCTAAGATGGATAGACTCCACCGCCTGGATCCCACCTGCTTCCCCACATTGCCAGCCCCGCCTGCTACTGTCTGTCCACAATCACACGCAAACAGCTCTAAATATTGCCTCTGCAGGGCCTCTCCCACATGGCGGCTACTTCTTGCTCTGTTCGCTTTACAGTGTGGCCCCTTTGGGAACTGCCTGCTCACCTCTGTTCTCCCCCATCCCCTCGGACAGCAGCTCATCCCAGCCTTGGAGATCCGTGTCTACGTTGATGGATCTCGCTGTCCCTTGGCCTTCTGTTGGGGCAGCCTCTCCGCAGCCTCAGACAGAGCTGACTGGGGCCCCTTTGTGGAGACACAGCCTCTTCTGGAACCAGTTCTCTCCCCTCTCAGTGTCTCAGCTCACACTCCCCTCTATGCCCTTTGACCTTAGTCTCTGACTCCAGCCCTTCTCTTCCCTGTTCCCATCTCCATCTGTACTCTGTCCCTAGACCGAGAAGACCTCCAGTCCCTTAAGACTTACAAGTGACCATTCTTCTGACCTCTGTCTCTGGCCCAGACTCAGATCTCACGTCCACCCTGGCGTAATTAATTGTCTGCTAGGCCTTCTACCAGGGGTGCACTGGCACGTTCAAAACTGAACTCTTGGATCATTGCTGAACCCCTCTCCCCACCCCACCCCCATATTCCAACCCTTCCTTCCTCACTTTCCCCTTGGCTTCCTATTGGCTTAGGCCAATAATCTGGGAATAATATTCCAATCTATTTTTCTTCACCACCCGTATCTAATCTATTATAGAGTCCCACGTCCACCACTTCCAAGGCGTAGCCCAAATCAAGCCACGCCCCCATCTCCAGCCCCACAGGATGATGGGATGCCAGCCACCATCCACTCACACCGCAGCCTGCCTCACACTCTGCCTCCGCATGGGCTCTGGTGCACTCTCATCCCCAGATCCGGAAGTGACCCTTTCAAAGCCTTTATTGGGGTGCATCGCCCTGGCAGACCTTCGAATGGCCCCTCACTGCATGCGAATAAACCCTGCCTGGATGCTCTTCACACGTGCGTGGGAGCCATCACTTTTGCTAGGCCATTCCACCATGTGAAATTCTCGCCCTTATTCACAGTGCACGGCACTCATGAAGCTCCTGAAGGGAGCTCTCTGTGGAAACCAGGCCGGTCCCCAGCTCCAGGCCCTCATCCTTGCTGCCCCTCTACGGCTGTCCCTTCCTGCTCCTGGCACGACTGGTCTCACGAGCCTCAGCTCAGGTGTCCCTCCTGACGTTCTACCTGCCACGACTGCTCCCAGCTACATAGCCCAGGCATCCTAAGAAATTACCCTCTATAATTTTTGTTTTCGTGCTTGCTGTCTCCTTCCTCCCACTCATGTAAGCTGGTTTTTTTTTGTCTTGTCACCATGGCCTCTAGCAAGTAACTCAGTTTCAAGCACAGCCCTACATGTACTCGTGGCATAGACAAGAGAGTAATTCCCAGGAGCCAGGCCACGTGTTATCCGGGCAGCCTGGCCCTGTCTGCCCTGGGTCCCTTGTCAGCTTCTAGATCTATGGGTAGGATACAGAGAGGCCTCCACAGAGAGGACTTGAGCGACTCTGCCATACACAAATGGAGTGACGTTGGGCAGGTTTCTTAGCCTTGTTTACTCGCAAAATGGGTAACAACGCTGGTTCTGCGATTTATGTAAAATTCTGAGGATGGCATCTGTTTGAAGCCTCAAGAAATGGAAAAATCCATGAAAATTAATGGTGACAGCTAGCAAACATGGAATGTACAAATCTTTGTGTTACCCTATGAGATTGAATCATGAGATGGCTGGCATCTAATTTCACACATGGAAAAATAAATCTAGCCAGGTGCTACTAGCCCATACCTATAATCCTATCTATCTGCTATGAGATCAAAGAGTCATAGTTCGAAGCCAGCTTGAACAGAAAAGCCCTGGAAACTCTATTTCCAATTAATCAGCAAAGAGTCAGGCTGGACGCATGGTTCAAATGGTAGAGCACCAGCCAGGGAAGCACAAAGCCCAGAGTACAGTAACCAAGGCCCAACCCCCCCCCAAAAAAATCTGAAAGTATCTGAAGTCAGGGTTACACACTAGTAAATAAATGACCTAGCTTTCTAGTAACAGTGATGCTAAGCAACCTATATAGGTAGCTATCTGGTCACTAATAGTCTTTCATTTTTTCCATATACATTCATTCTTCTACTTATTCATTCATTCACTCACATTTATTCATTCAACACAGTTGAGAGTGGACTGGGTGCTGAACATCATTCCAGGCTCTGGCACACAGCAAGGATGACAACAAAGCCTGTAATCCTGTTTTCCCCAATCAACACATATTTTTGTTTATGTTTTCTTTTTGGCTGGTTCTGGGGCTTTGAACTCAAGGTCTGAGTGCTGAGCTTCTTTTGCTCAAGAATATAATTCTATCACTTGAGCGACAGCACTATTTCCAGCTTTTTCTGAGTCATTTATTGGAGATAAGAGTCTCACAGACTTTACTGCCCAAACTGGCTTCAAACCACGATCCTCACATCTCAGCCTCCTAAGTAGCTAGGATTATAGTCATGAGCCACTAGTGCCCAACTCAACAAGTTGTTGTTGTTGTCTTTAAATATAGCATGCCAGTAGTGATAGGTGTTGTAAAGACAAAGCAGAGAAGGGGCGGGACTTTGTGAGAGAGGCCAGGATGACTTCCGTGAGGGGGTGACATGTGAGCACAGACATAAGAAAGAGAGCAACTGAGCCAGTTAGGCATCAAAGACCAGAGGTACCAGGAGCCAGGCTCGGTCTAGTTCAGAAACATCCCTAGGCGGTTACAGCTGGAGACAGATGGCTGAAGGGGAGCCAAGGAGAGGGTGGCCAGGGGTTCCTGGCGGCTCTTCCACCCCCAGGAGGACTGGGTTTCCCTCTGGGTGAAGCGGGCAGCCACGGGAAGATGCCAAGGAAAGAAATGGCACGGGCTGCCTTGTAATTTAACCAGTTGTCTGAGTTGCTCACGGCTGGAAGTGGTTGGCGTGGTCACAGGTTAGACCATTTGGGGAATTATTATAAGAGTTTAAGCAAGAGCTGGTGACTTGGATCAGGTTGGTGGCCACAGAGCTCCTGAGGTGTGATGAGATCCTGTTTTCTCGGAGGCCGGAATGATTGCAGTTTGCTGGTGGTTAGACAGAGATGGAGAGATCGGGAAGTGAAGGGTGTTCCCAGGGCTCTGGCCTGAACCTTTGCCTTGGATAGGCTGATGCCTTTTGTGCTAATCAGGAAATGCTCAACTCGCAGCCATGTCCGGCTTGCACCCTCTGTGCGAGCTCATCACAGTAATATATTCATTCCCGAAATAACCCCGAGCCAGACAGCATCCTAGTGGAGAATGGAAACCTTATTTGCAAATAAGTCACAAACTTGACTCACTGAGGTTCAGAGATGAGGATTGCAATATTGTGTTTCCATTCCCCTGCCCCCACCCTAAGGTAAGCAAAAACACAAAAACAAAAACCAACAAACAAAAAAATCCTGGCAATTAATTCCATAGGGAAGAACTCCAGGGACTCGGGAACTTCACCCAGGACCCTGATTCATCGTTCTGAGCGTCTCCCTTACTGTAGACTCTTTCCTCCTCCCCCCTCCCGGATCATCAGCCCCTAGACAGAAAGGGCAGGTGATAAGGTAGAGAGAGATTGCCATCAGGCTCTTCAGAGAGGCTTGGGGAAAACTTTGTCTTCACAAAGGGAAGGACAGAGAAGGTCTGAGAGCCACATTCTTCCAGCATCCTTCCTAGAACCAGGGTCAATTTGTGAAGGACACAGAGGTAGCTAGTTCTGGTTGAATTGGGGAAGCGTTTTTCATCAGACCCTCGTGAAATGGGGAGCTCTGGAAATACCAGCTGCCCCCATAAGCAGCTGGAACTGCTCAGTAATTCTTTAGCCACACTAGACCTGTGGTTGCACCTTATGCCCATATCTTTCACCCTCTTTGTGTCCATCCATCTCTGCTGCTCCAGCTCCATTCCACTGCTTTTTATCCCGTGAGTTTGGTAGAACCCTACCTGGTTCTACATCATTCTACCATGCATGCGTGTACCTGTGAAGCTCAGCGTGGCTGGAGGAAACACAACCACAGTAACAGTTCGTCTAAAATATATGGCCACCAACCCCATGGTGCTTTAAGGCTCCTAGCATTGGTCTTACAATTTCCTGGTCCATTCAGCACCCTGACCTCCAAGGGGACTTTTTCTCTCTCTCCCTCATTTTCAGTGGATGATCTTGTTTTCAGTCCATTAAAGACACAGAAGTGATCCCCAAACTCTCAACTTACTGCCCTACCTGCAGTGTATCCATATGCCTGCCCCATTCATGTCCCCAGACTGTCCTGACTCTTTGCTGACCCCAGGCCCTGAAGCTTTCTGATGCTTCCCCATTCCTGTTCAGATTTCTCCAGCAACTGTCTTGCTATTACTTAGTCCCTCTCTACTCAAACATCTTATTAACACGTTTTTAAGGCTCCCACCTTAAAAGAAAACACACAAGACACTGAGTCCACACCTTTCGCCTTCTCGCACACTGCTGTCTGTTTCCCTTTTCACATTTCACAATGTCTCCAGCCCTTCTCCTCTCTTGATATCCACGGAGGGATTACTGCCCTTGAAACAACCCAGTGACCAGTGGCCTCCTGATTGCTAGATGCACAGAGCAGATCTCAGTCCTTGCCTTCGATGCTCAGAAGCACTGGGCAATGTTGATGTCCTTCCCCTTTCATTCATTCCTAGATCTGGCCTGTTCATACCTTCATAACTGATCTTTACTTTGGTCCCTTCCTCTGAGCACTGAGGGATACGAGTTCAGATGAATTCCATGCTGGGATCTGTTGAGCACTATTTTGTGTGGATATCATGGGGATACTAAAGATGCTGGACAGGAGTGACAGGCTCTATTTATGAAACTCCTGCTAGTGACATTCTCTCTCCATTCATCTCCAGCGCTTGGAACATTCCCTGGAGAAAATGGAGATCATTGCTACTGATCTCCAATTTTAGAGGGTTGGAAATTGAGGTCCAGATAAATAAAATGACTTGTCCATAGTCACTCCACTAGTGGAAGAATCGTGACTCTGCTTGGACAGAAAATTCACGGACTCCAGTCACACAAGCCTTTGTGGCTTCCAGGAAACTGTTGTTCATAGCAAGGATACAGAGAAGACAAAGAGGAAATTTATGACTGGTCTAGTCTGCCTCAAGAGAAAGCTGCATGTCACAAAGAAAGGCTGGAGGAAGGAGGCTTAGGAAGTAGAGTGGATCTGACTGAGAGGACCTGGGTGGGCAATCTCAGCGTGGAGTTTTGATATTCGCTGCATCTTTATGTGTGAGGTAAACTCTGAAATCGCCTAAATATCTCTCCGTCAGGGAGTAGGCAAGCAAATGATGAGATAGTCATAAAGCAGAAGATAATCTGAACAGACGATCTTCCTCAAAGGCCGATCAACACAAGCGTACGTGGGACAGCCAGTCTCCGAGCTCTGTGCTGGTTCTGCGTTCTCCTCCCTCCTGCCCTCCTCCGCACTCTTGCCGCTGGCTCTCCTGGATGGCTCCCTAGTTTTCTGGCTTCCAGTTGGGTTTGACAAGGGGAGGATCCTACAGAAGCATGGAGGATGGGAGAAGAAGAGGGGTTCTTCACTGTACCCCTCATTTGGGTTTCATGGTTCTAGCACAGACCATCCCCTTCACAGCTCCAGCTCTCTCTCCTTAGCCCTTCATCCTTCACCTCTGTTCACTTCCAGCGCTGACACCCTAGCTCCTCCCCTTCCTCTTAGGGCGTTAAAATCCCTCCACATAGGCTGAATGGAATTGTGCTGCCTGCCGGGACCTTGATGATGATGTAGATACAGTGTGTTCCTTACAGAGGGTGCAGCTTACTGACCTCCCGAGAGCTTTCCCAAGCATCTTCACGATGACAGTCCCCACCAGTCCACCGATGGCGAATATAGACACGGTCACAGACCAGAGCAGAGTCAGAGTGTCCGGGTCTATGGGATGTCCGTACCGCCTTTCCCACACTTCACTGTAAAAGGCCTTGATATACTGAAAACAAACAACAAAACGTGTTATTTCCTTCTGTCCCCTCCTGCTGCTGCTTGAAGAGTTTTGTTTTTAATAGATCACTCTCTTCATGTTCTTCTCTTGGCTGATTCCAGGTGGGCTTATCTCACTAAGCTCTTCTAACAGATTATGGGATCAGTTCCTAGTTTTACCTCATTCTGCATCTGGGAAATGGATCCTCAGTAACTTGTTGAGGATCCTCAGAGTCAGAGGGACTTGTTAGGTGCGAACACTGGGAATCGAACTCAGAGCTGACCGCAAGATGATGACAATTCCGATACTTAAGATTCTTTAACTTAGAAGTAACACCCTAGAAATGTGGCAAAACTTCACATGCCTCAAGGAAGAAATACTTCGGAACAAAAAACCCCAGAACACTAAAACAATTACTGTAAAAGAAAAAAATGATTATTTGGATTTTTATATAAGAAACGAATCTCCTATTGCTTAAAGCATCACGAAATGAAGACAAGCCAGAGGCTAAATTATATTTGCAGTACATTCAACTGTGGAAAAAAAATCTGTCAACAATATATAAAGAACTGAAATATGTCAATAAGAAGAGAAATAATGTAATTACAAATGAGCAAGAGACTTGAATAGATCTTAAATGAAACACAAATGACCAGTAAGGCGGCAGGGTGTTTACCATCAGTGGTCTACAGGGAAATGCAAATGAAAACTAGCTCTAAGCTAGACACAGAGAGAAGCCGAACATAGACCCACATCTCAAAGACATTTCAGACCACCATAGCTGATAATGCATTAACCCACTATAAGGATGCCCTTGGATACCAACTCAGAATAGCTCAGCAACAAGGATACCTAAGCCATGCAAATTCACTGGGGTGATAAATTTCAAGGACTATTGATCTGTTGGCTCACAACTAATCAATCAACACAGTCAGAATACAGATGCTTCTACAGCATGTTTTACTCTGTCTGCTTCCATAGCTTGATTTCCTCCTATAACTTCATCCACTCACGAGCACAGAATATTCCTGGGGTAATTGGGCTGTGTGCTTTCCCATTCACAGTGTCTGGGGAGATAGTAATTGATGGTGTTAAAAAGACTTTTCTTAGAAGCCTCTAGCAAGCCACAAGTCTTTCGGTCCTGGCTTAGGCAAGATTCCTTTCCATGCCATGCTATTTGGAGCTTGGGGATCTGTCCTTGAGTCTTTGCAGGTGCTCAGTCAGAAGGTATAAATGTATCTTTCACTCTTGCCTTTGGTCAACGTTCCTCAACCAAGCCACCATCTTTGTCCATTGTGATCTGGATTATGTCCCCCTTCATTTGTATCTTAAGACCCCTCAGCACCTTAGCATGTAATGTGACCTAACTAGAGTCTCCACAGAACTAAGCAAGTTCAAATGAGGTCTCTAGGGTGGCTCATAACTCAGCATGACTGGTGTCCCTTTAGAAAGGGGAAGTTTGAACTCAGGCAGGCAAGGGAGGGAAGACAAAGTCAAGAGCACAGGGAAAAGATGGCCATCTTCAAGAGTGGTATGGACTAGACCTTCCCCTCACAGCGCTCAGAAGGAGCCAACCCTGCCCACACTTTGATCTTGGACTTCCAGCTTCTATTACTGTAAGACTACCTTAAAAATGGTGGTGGTGGGGGGTTAATTTAATTAGCATCTATTGAATTAAGAGACACAAATCAAGCACTAAGGAAAAGCTACTCCAAACAAGCACATCCTCGAAACTCCTATTTCCAAGTTCTCAGGCCAACTTGTGGGGAGGGGATAATTTACCAAGCTTGTTTCCACTGTGTAAGCCACTTACTGGATGGCACTGCTGGGCGGCCCTCCCAAGCTGAATCACTGCCCTACGGCCAAAAGACCTCACAGCTTCCACCTCTCAGCCAAGTCTGAACACCTAACCCTCTCATGGAAGCTTCCATAGCTCTGATGTTTGGGACCTCACCAACATGCTCAAGCAGTCTCAAATGGGTCCCACACTCCCTGGCTGTGGCCACTGACAACCACCAAGTTGAAGGGAAGGCTTTGCATGTGCCAGTGGGCATTTGTCACTCTTTTGCGGGTACTCAGATTCAGATGCCCCCTATCTATGTGGGAAACAAGGACTACTGATCATCACAGAGGCTGTAAATGCCAGATGTATATTCTCCAAGCATCCCTTGAAGCTAGGGAGTGATCATATGACCCAGCCTCAGCCAATCAGATGCCTGGACTTTGCATAAGGTGCTGGTGGGACCAAATCAAGGGCCTGTGGTGGTGGTGGTGGTCTTTGGTGCAGAGAAGGCAGTAGCAGCCATGCGGGAAATAGCAGGGTTCTGTGCCATCAGAATATTTCACAACAGTGGTGGCTGCAAGAGGCCCCTCAGACCAGCTCTGGGTGTGGTCTTCTCATTCAAGCTGTGAGCAACTCACTATTTTTTAAAACAACTTTTTAGCTTCACTCTGATGAAACTGTTCATCTTCCCTACAACTATGGAAAGTTTACCAAGACACCTGAGTAACTGCATCTCAGCTCTGAACAACCCTAGAGGTGGAAGCCTTCGCTTCCACACTAGGGGACCAAGAGTGACACACTTGTCTTGGTCACCTGGCTCGTGTGCGGTAGGTAGAGGGGCTTGTGCGCTGGAGCTGCTGACTTCACCGCCCCCACGCATTCGCTCCACTCTCCAGACTCTTCCACGCACCTCAGAGGAGGGAAAACCGAGCAGCTAAGCCCAGAGGTCACCGATTTAAAAATGAACCTCCATCAGTCAGTGGACCCCATGAAGTTCAAGGAGCATGAAGTCTACCAGGAGAGACGGCGACAGCCACTAAGACAAGGGATCAGAGGTTCACAGGAAGGCAGGGGGTGCAGGACACCCCAAGGGCCACAGCAAGGGGTCAAGGCCCTTCGGAAAAGCGTGTGTAAGTAATGAATGCCTAGAAATTCTCAGGTACTCGTTCTGTCTACACTGTCCTCAGAAAGACAGCATCGCCCCACACATAGACAGTCCTTCTTGAGTCTCATTGTGAGCCTGTGCTGATTCAAGCAATTGCAGCTCCTTGAAGAGCCTCCTCCGACCCATCTGCATCGCCTCCTGCTCCCGTACTCGTGGCAGTGTCGGGTGTCACGGAGGTCACCACAAGATGCTGACTGCACCACTTTGCATGGTGTCCCGGCGTTCATGGAAGGACGTCACGTAGTTAAGCATCTGTTTAGTTAAGACGCTGACTGCGTTGCACTGCCCCGTGTCCTGGCGCTGGTGGAAGGACACTCAGGACACTGACTGCATTGCCCTGCATCCAGGAGCCCCTGGGGAGAAGCTGGCTTACTCATTCACCATCTTGCCGTGCTTTGAGGACTTTGCGGTGCTCATCCCAAGGGTTAACTGGCAGGTTCACAGAGATGTTTCACCCCATCTTCAAGATGGAAGTTCCGGCCCCCTACCTTCAAGGAGCTCAAGGTCCAACGGAGACCAGCTGAGTAAGTACCCATGATGACAAGTGGACACCACAATGGCAGGAAGCCCAGCGGGTGATGGCCAATCCCTCGGACCAGGTGGGCTGCAAGGTGGGCTGGGCTCAGGTGGACAATGTGGACAGAGGGGACTGAATTCTCAAGGTTCAGAAGCTGGTGACCACATGTGGACATCAAATTCCTGAAAACGGCTTCACGGGGTTGGAGGGTATCAAGCATCAGGAGGAAGGCTGGAGAGCAGGGCAGGGGCTGTTTATACCTGGGTTTGCCCGTGGTCTTTGGAGCTCATGGCCCCTTAGGAGTCACTGGCTGGCTGGGCATGGAGCAGTAGCTCTGATGTGTGGTTCAAGATATTCATTGTATGTGTAGCATGAAGACCCCTTCACAGCTACTAAAGCCAGTGAGGAGGCTCCTGCATTTGGTATGAGACAATGAGTAAGATAGATGATTTGTGTGTATGTGTGTGTATGTGTGTCAGTCCTGGAGCTCGAACTCAGGGCCTGGGCACTGTGTCTGAGCTCTTTAGTTCAAGGCTAATGTTCTACCACTTGAGCCACAGCTCTACTTCTGACATATCTAGGTAGTTCATTGGAGATAAGAGTCTCACTGGACTTTCCTGCCCAGGCTGGTTTTGAACCTTGATCCTCAGATTTCAACCTGCTGCTCAGATTTCAGCCTCTTGAGTAGCTAGGATTACAGGCATGAGTCACAGAACATGGCTGACAGAGATTTTTTATTAAAAAAATCTATCCAGGAGTATTTACAGTATGACTTGTACTAACTAGAGCCTAAACTACAAAGATATGAGTAAGAGTCTACATAGTTAAAGGAAACCAAAGCGTTGACAGTCCTGGGTTCAAGACTTGCTAGCACCATGGAATTCTGTGACCTTGGCCATGGGACTTTGGCCTACTCCAGCAAGGTGCTCTGGCCCTCTGGGAGTGTCTGCCATTCAGGACCCTGAGCATCTACTTTGTTCCATTCTCACCCCTGCCGTCCACTCTCTGCTGGGTGATTGAACAAGTCGCTTAATGTTTTGAGTCCTTGGTTCCCTCAACTGTGAATCACTGCCTTCTTAAAGGTATCATTGGGAAGATTTGTGCGAGAAGAATATGAAGACAGCTCTGGCTCCATAGACACACACACCAGAAAACAGAAGTTGGTGTGGTTGGTTGGTGGTGCTATGAATACCATTATTTCTTGATTTGTGAAAGAAGGCATCTAGACATGTTTATTTCTCAGGTTTAAGAGCCTATAAATAATTCACCATTATCTCCCAGCCTAAGAACTCAAGGGCTATTCTTCTGGCAACAAATTAAACTCTCAGAATCCCATCCTCCACATGGCATGGAAATTGCCAGACAGTGGGCGACCAATTACCTTGTAGCCTGCCTTGCCACGGGAAAGGCTTCCTCCTGCTTCCTGAAGAGCCCGCCATGCATTCATCTAAAGTCATGCTCAGTGTCATCTACACAGTGTGCAGAATAGCCGGTGGCCATTCGTGGCACACACGTGTCACAAGAGAGAACAAATCATACCACAT